ATTCTGGCCTTCCAGATTTTACTAGATGTCAAGGTAGCACATAACACTGAGGTCAATTTTAGATGTTTCACTATAGCTGTGTATCATAGAAACTATGAAGTTTAAACATGCAGCTCCTCTTTAAGTGTCTGGAAGATATGTGACATTAGGAAACATAACATGGTGGGAACCTATCCAGGGAGAGCATTACTGATTTGGGAAGAATTTCTAACCTGCCTCTTCATCTTGAGGTTATATTAGAGCACTGGTTCTCATCCACTGGTGTGCAATAGAGAGCCTCCTGGAGCCTGTCTCCCATGGCCAGTGGATGAGACCCTGTAGGCCTTGGTCTGGCAAGCCTTCAGTTGTCTGATAGAGTTGAGGTTGAGAGTCTATCTTCATTTTAGAAGGCCAGGATTGAAGGGGATGAGAGATCACATAGATAGCAGGAGCCTCCAATTCGCTGTTCGGGGCATTGCCTGCCTCTTTGCCATCCTCCTAAGCCCATAAGAGAAATCACTCACTGAAAAGAAAGAAAAGGATTATAAAAGGAATTAAAATTATGGATGTGAAGGAAACATATGCATTCAATAAGATAAAGGATTGAAAAAAGAAATGTCTTCTATGAATAAGGTAGAGTAAGAAGAACTTAAATGTAAAAGAATCAAGAGTCACCGAGATAAAAGATTAAGAATCCTACAAAATAAATATTCAAGAATTAAGAGTACTGAGGATATAAGATTTAAAAGCACAATTAAAGCATTAAAAGATAAGCTGGAGGGGCTCTTGGGTGGCTCAGCCGGTTAAGCCTCTGACTCTTGATCTCAGCTCAGGTGTTGGTCTCAGAGTTTTGAGTTCAAGCCCCATGTTGGGCCCTGCTCTGGGTGTGAAGCCTACTTAAAACAAACAAAATTTAACTAGAAAATAGTATTAAAGCTATTAAAGATACAAATTAAGGAAATAAGATTTATCCTCTGTAATGGAATGCAATCTATTATTGGGTTGGCTGATAGGTTTGTTTAGGAGTCTGTGCTTAAATAATAACCAACATTCCCAGGTACAGTGGAAGACCTCAAGTCCTAAGTTTCGAACTGAGGGTGGTTTGACCAACTGAAGAAGTCACTTCAAGTGCTCAGTTATAAAAACGTAGAGGCTTAACACTTTTACTCTAACTTGTACTTCCTGCCATGTTTTTGATGTAAGATAAAGACTATTTCTTTAAATAAGAGTCCAATGATTGGAGTTACCTGTTGTCTTTCTTTTTTTTTTTTAATTTATTTTTTTATTGGTGTTCAATTTACCAACATATAATATATCATCCAGTGCTCATCCCATCAAGTGCCCCCCTCGGTGCCCGTCACCCAGTCACCTCCTGTTGTCTTTCTAACATAAACATAACTCATTTGTCTGTCTAGAAAATCGGTTTTGGCTTTTTAAAAATAGAGCAGAAATTTAAAAATACAATGCAAGCTAGGTGCATAATCTCTTTGGGTTTTGTGAGTCCTCCCTGCCATCCCAGCTTTTTTTTTTTTTATTTAAGATTTTTATTTATTTATTCATGAGAGACAGAGGGAGAGAGAGAGAGAGAGAGAGGCAGAGACATAGGCAGAGGGAGAAGCAGGCTCCATGCAGGGAGCCCGATGAGGACTCCATCCTGAGTCTCCAGGATCACGCCCTGGGCTGAAGGTGGCGCTAAACCGCTGAAGGGGGCGCTGAGCCCCCCGGGGTGCCCAATCCCAGCTTTTTGATACCTCATTTGATGACAAGTTTTTAAGATGACTTACATGTACAGAGTCTTTTCAAAGCATTCTGTTAAGTTCACATAGAAAACAAAATATCCTTTCATGTGTTGATTTCCATGATGCTTATTTAAATGATGTAATTACATTCGACTATAACTTGCATGCACAAAAATGTGAATAAACATAACGCACCCTGGAAAATGAAGGTCTCACTGGGTAGTGATGCCAAGCCTACTGCTTGGGAGTGCCCATCATGCTCTGGTTATCAATTGATGTGATTTAAGGGAGGGAACAGAGATTGTGTTGGAGGTTCTCAAAGTGGGTTCTCAGAGCAGCAGCAGCAGGAGCAGCAGCCGCCACCTCGCCTGAGAACCTCTGTAAATACAGATTTTTCAGGCCTGGCCCCTGCTCTCCTGAATCAGAAACGCTGAGGTGCAGCCCAGCAAACTGTGTGTTAGCAAGCTCTGGTGTTTCTGATGCCCCAGCAAGTCTGAGAAGCACTGGATTAGGTCATAAATTCTAGGTCACCTGAAGTGTTGGCAAGGGAGTTGGATTGCAAGATCTACTGTTTCGATGCTCATTGTAAAAAGTCCATCTAATTTCAAAGACAATACTGTTTGTTTTATATTAAGAACTTGTGTTTAGTAAAACAAAACAAACCAACCAACCAACCAAACAAACAAACAAAAAAAACCAACGAAACCTAAACCCTTAATTTTCTTTCAGTGATTGAAATGAGTTATAGGAAATGAGAAGGGGGAAAGAGACCCCAGACCCGGGAGTTCTGTAACTCGGCTTACGTTTTTTACGAATGAATTCTCTTCTTTCCCTTTCTTTTCCTGCTTGCTGAAATATCCTAATGCTTCCTGTTTGATTGTGAAAGCTTCCAAGAATGAGCTTTTGCTTGTTTGAGAAATTTTGTTTTGCTTTCTAATTCGTGCTGGGGCAGGGACTTCATTATAAGGAATTTTGCGATAATTTTCATTAATTTAACACTGCAAGGGCAGCATGCTATTTTTATATTGCTGCCGCTGTGCAAGGGGTGCTATGTGTCAAAATGAAGCTGATTGCAATTCTTGCCCAGCTGCTTGCTTGTTGAACCTGTGGCTCCTTAGCTGGGCATTCGGAGTAGTTTTGAATTTAAACCCTCACAGGAATGGAATCATGTCTGTGTGGAGAGGAATCAGTGGAGAAAATGTTAGAGAATTCTGAGGGCAGGTCCAAAGGGACATTCTCAGATTCTCCCTCTTATTCCAGCTCCTCAGATTAGCTGACTCTCAGTGACTTCCATTGTAATCAAGAATGATTTTAAGAATATTTTGAATGAACTTTTTTGATTAATTGTTTTAAAATGCTAATCAGAGAGCTAAATCAAAACGAGAACCGAAGAATAGGGAAAATAATTTACCAAAAATCACCCAATTTATTGTCTCAGTGTTTCATCAAGTCCTTTGTTGGTGAAGGTCATCAACATTAAAGAGAGTCCCAAATGTCATAAGAAATTCCCCCAAAAAACCTTTTATTGCTTTTTAAAAAAAGATTTATTTATTTATTTATTCATTCATTCATTCATTCATTCATTCATGATAGACAGAGAGAGAGAGAGGCAGAGACACAGGCAGAGGGAGAAGCAGGCTCCATGCAGGGACCCCGATGCGGGACTTGATCCCGGGTCTCCAGGATCACACCCTGGGCCAAAGGCAGGCGCTAAACCACTGAGCCACCCAGAGATCCCCCCTTTTATTGCTTTTTAAAGTTAGAAATAGTTCATGATTGGGCATCTGGGTAGCTCAGTCAGTTGAGCATCCTCTTGATTTCCATTCAGGTCATGATCTAAGGGTCATATGATAGAGCCCAGCACAGGGCTCTGTGCTCAGGGTGGAGTCTGCTTGTCCCTCTCCTCCCCCTCTGCCCTCCCCCTGCTCATGTGCATACACCTGCTCTCCCTCTCTCACTCTCTAAAAGATATAGATAAATAAAACTTTTTTAAAAGAAGGAATAGTTCATGATCTTTATTTTTTAAAATTTTTATTTGTTTATTTTTAGAGCAAGAGAGTGTGAGTGGGAGGGGGGCAGAGGGAGAGGGAGAGAATCTTAAGCAGGTTCCATACCCAGCACAGCGGTACTTGGGGCTCAATCTTATGACCTTGAGATCATGACCTGAGCTGAAATCAAGAGTCAGATGCTCAATCAACTGAGCCACCCAAGTGCCCCAGAAATAGTTTATGATCTTTATAAAAAATTTAGAAAATACAGATTAAAAAAAGAAAACGAAAATAGTTTGCAGCCCAATTACCTGGAGTTAACCGCTAGCTACACATACACACACATCAAATCTTGATGAATACTCTTTTGTAAGCTACTTTCATTCATGTAATGTGTGTATATATTTTTTGGGGGGAGGAGAGACAGCAAATATAGATCTGCTTCATTATTTTTAATGTCATTTTGTCAAATCAACCCCTGTTCCTAGGCCTAAAGGTTATTTCTAGCCTATTCTATGCTCTGTTTTTTAAAGTTATAGGTTACATCCTTCCAATAATTAGCTTCTTTGTTGTTAGACATGTTTCCATTTTTAAAAATCCCATTTTTATATATAAAGATAAGAGAAAGATACTACTAATTTGGAGGTAGTTTCAGGTTATATGTATGGGTTGCTGATGACTTTGGCTTGAAAAAATTAGATTGTTATAACAAAATATAACCAACTTCTACATTTAAAAGCTTCATCTTTTCTGATAATTTTTGTTTGCCGAGATTTTTTCGTATTTTATTCTTCTAACTGCCTCCCAAATTTTTAAAGGTAATTTGATGAGAATAGTGCATTAATATGAGTAAAGACTACATACTTAAGACAAATCATGATACTCATGAGAATTAATGTAGTGCCCTGCAGCACCATTCCAAATTGTGGGGTCTGTGTGTGTGTGTGTATGTGTGTGTGTGTATGTGCTGGGTGTTGTGTGTATGATGTATGTTGTGTGTAGTGTGTGCGTGCTGTGTGTGCTGGGTATTGTGTGTATTGTGTGATGGGCACGTGTACTGTGTGATGTGTGTGGTATATATTGTGTGTGTGATGTATGTCATAGGTTTTTTGTGTGTGATGGGTGTTGTGTGTATTGTATGTGTGATGTGTGTGTGTGTGTGTGTGTGTGTGTGTGTGTAGGGTAGGGTAGGGGTGTGTGAGAGGCCCTCATCTCTAGTCTGAGAGTTTGTATTTCTTTCCTCGCTGTATCTGTGACCTTTCTCAAAATTAATGAAATTTTTTGTTAAAATTAGACGGAAGAGATCACTGAGGAGGGAGCAGAAGGGGAAGCAGAGGAAGAGGAAGCTGAGAAAGGAGAGGAGGAGCCAGAAGAAGAAGAAGAAGCAGAAGCAGAAGATTCTTAGGCCTTTTCATGCTTCATTTCTCCCCTCTTCCAGGTAACAACATGGTCCTGGGTTGTTACAACGTTGGGCTGATGCTGCCTCTCCCTTGGTGATGGGAGAAGGGCCCCAGGTCAGGCCACACGGTCTTCCCCAGGCCCTGGTGGCCCTCGCTGGAGCCACAGGGATGCTCAGCTGCCCCCCACCCGTCCCGTGGGTGAGGGTGTGGAAGGCCATAGTTTATATGATTTCCAGGAAATGTGTACCCTAGAGGCAAGGCGCAGTTGGCTTTGTGATATTTATTTCCTCCTCTTCCTCTGCGTGACCTTCATTTAAGGGAGAGCACGGGGAGTGTTCTGTGACCGTTGTTCTATTACCCAGACTCTCCTGCTGCCCTGGATATATGTACACGTCTATGGGGGAATGACAATCGAGTTCACAATGGTGGCAATAAATTACAGCCTTGAAAAATCACAACGCTGGCTCTTCTTGAAGGAAAAATACTGCTGCTCGAGATTGAGTGATAAGTACTTGACAGACATTTTCATTTATCAAATATTAACCGGAATGCTCGTGTAGAAACATCGTGGAATATGGTGAAAATCACCTTAGTTCCTTGGACAAGTACGCTCGCCGCCTTGTCACTGTAAACTTCTGACAATGCAGGATAGTTATGTAATTCTGCAAGTGCTGTGTGAATACATTAATAAGAGGATGATAGTAACTCATGAGAGTGGGTATTGAGGACAAATATTGTGGGCCATACAGATAAGACATGAACAGCTCGAGATCAGTAAGTGCTGCAGAGATCTCTGGCTATCACAGACACTTAGCAAGTGCCTATGCAAGAGTTGTATTCTTAAATAATATTAATAAGAATATTATTTAACCTTGTGACCAAATTTGAGGCAGCAGTTTATTCTCTAGGGCGCTGAGGTTTGCTTTGGTACTCTAAGGGTTCTTTTCAAAATTGAAATTAAAATTAGAAAAATTCTTTTAGTCTCCTTACTTACTAAAAGTTTGTTTAGTCTCCTTGCCTCCAGTGAAGCACACAAGGCAGATTTGGGGGGTGCAGATATCGGGGATCTGGGGAAGGAGAGATGGAAGGTGAAGCACTGAAGTGCAGGGTGGTTTTTCAGTAAAGGCCTGTGGTGCATCTCAGAGCCCTGTCTCATGAAGGGTCGACAAAAGTTAAGCAGAGGAAGGAAAAAGAAATCCCTGGTGCTTTGTAAATATTGGCTAAGAAATAGCTCTGCTCTATGTACCAAAGACCGATTTGATTAGTGTGAATCTCCCCCCTTGATATACTTACACTCGCTTATGCATAAAAATTAATATAAATTTTTTTTATTAAAAAAGCATAGCCCATTCTTATCAGACCATGCAAATGTCACTATTCACTTATGTAAATTACAAAGGGAATCTAGCCCATCATTTGACATTTCACAGGTGGTTTCTTTCATGTTCTGGACACACAGACCTCACCTTTTAAGGCCTCCTGATTGTCATTTTGGAAGTAATCCCATTTCTTTTCTTTAAAAAAAAAATTCTTCTGTTGTTACTATCGAGAAACCTGTTATTAATCTTATTAGTGTCCCTTCTTAGTGTCTCAATTTTAAGGAGTAGGTTGGGACACATTTTTTGAAAAAAAAAATGAGCAAATTTACTTTTAGAAATTCTATCTGAAGAATATTGGGAAGGAGAAATATCCTGATTATTTCTTCTTCTACCAAAAAGCCCCAAACAGTAAAAACTCATAAGTACTGTTTAAAATCCATTTCTATTCACCCTGCTTATGAAGTTCCTTTTATTTTATTTTTTAAAAGACTTTATTTATTTATTATTAATAAATTTATTTATTTTTAATAATAAATTTATTTTTTATTGGTGTTCAATTTGCCAACATACAGAATAACACCCAGTGCTCATCCCATCAAGTGCCCACCTCAGTGCCCGCCACCCAGTCACCCCCACCCCCGCCCTCTGAAGTTCCTTTTAAAATCATGCAATTTTAGTGTGATAACGAAAAAAAATATGTTGATTGTGAAGTGGCACAGCTGAGAGCATCCTTCATGGAGCCAGATGGCTTCACAGACTGATTCAAAGAAGGAAAAAGAAAAGGCAAATACAGCTGTGGCCAGCAAGCACATTTGCCTGTTCCACCGATTCTGTAGTTTGAAATCCCATCCATAGGAGTCTGTTATGAGGTCAAAATGCCTGATAGTGAAGGAGTGACTCAAACACCTCCCTAAAATCCCACCCCCCAACCCTGGAGAGATTCAGTATCCTTTCATATGCAACATGGCCATACAGTCATGCATTGAACTGGGCACCATGCCATTCAGTGTCCAAAGCAAACCCATCTCTTAGCTCATGGAGAATCCAGGTGTTTTATTTGACAAGATTTCACTTTAGGGGGAACTTGGAGAAGCCAGGGAGAACAGGGAATGGAATGGTGAAGGGATTCTCATATCCCATGTTCAAAATTGATGCTAACTTAATGCTCCAGGAGAAATCATCTGTAGTATGAGACCGAATGCTACCTCCCCAGGGGCTGCTGCTCAATACTGCCCTGCAGTCAAGGCATGGGCCATTTAAATTGCCCTCTCCAGGTCCGAGCTTGTCAATTCGGCCTCTCCATTCTCCATGAAATTTCAGTGGGGAAACTGTCATCAGAGATGTTGACTTCCTTAGGGTGTTTGATATGTGTTAGTACAGAGAAAGGATATAAACCTGATCTGGGTTTCCACGAAAAGAAACCATTTAATTTTTCTTTCCTTGCACTTGGAAGCAAAGGGTGAGTAGTGCTTTAGAGAGTGAAAGGGAGCACTTGCCTCTAACACGTGGTAAGTAGTGAAGATCGTGGTAAACGTTGGCTTTCTCTCCTGACGTCCTCTCCCTACTATTTTCCCTTTCTTTTAGAAAACTCAAGCCATGAAGCAGTATTTCAACTGTCTCTCCACAAACCAAATGCTTTGGCGTGAAGCTAGCACCCCTCTCTCGGTACACCCGGGGTTCCCCGAGGAATTGTACCTACCTGACATGGTTAGATGTACGCGGATATGTCTATCTAATCTTAGCAACGTGAGAGTCCATGTGAAGACAACTCCTCCATACCTTCATGTGCCTGACATCTTTGGCTTTTGCTTAATTTTTTTTTTTTTTTTGCTCTGCATGAATAGATCTTCTTACTAATACCCTGAAAAGAAATGATTTTGAAACATGATTTCCAAATATAGAACTTCTCTTTGTGATGTAATAAAAGCATTTCTTCGTATGTGCCTTATGCCACCTGTCTCAGAATGAGCTGAAAATAAAGAGCTTTGAAAATAAAGAGCTTTCCAGAGAACAATCATACAAATAAAGATTAATAGTGGCTATCTTCCCCGAGGAACATTAATTTCTTTATTTATAGTCTCTACTTGTATCCGGCTGAACTCCATGTGTCTGTTGCCAAGTCTGAATCCTTTGCACAACCTTTCTGTCTGCACTGGGATGGGCATTTTTTGTTGTGTTGGTTATTCAGCTCGTGTTTTCAAATGACACCGGTTGTCTTGTTACGTCATATTTTGTGTGATACACACAGCTGTGCACATTATCTCCGAAGCCTTTTTTAACTGTAAGCCTGCCATCCGCATGTGTAGAGACGACAGTAGGGACAGATAGATTTGCACCCCAGTGTCTTTGCACGTTTCTGCGCCGAGGGAGTGGCTGCTTCTGTTCCTTTTGCCTCTCACTGATTTGCAGCCACAGCTGCGAGGTGCAGAGTGCACGTCTGTAGTTGTGCCTGCTGATGCCAGGGTCCACCGAGAGCTGGTCCAGCCCCGATGACTTGCACACCAGGTAGGCTGGCAGCGTTTCTGTGGTCACCCACCCCATCTCAGTTTGTCAAAGGGATTTTTCCTTTCTTGCAAGATTTTGTTGACACCCCTCCCCTCTCTTGTATCTGTGCTGGTCCTTATATTTCTCTTGCTGCAAGCAGTGCTTCCATTCTTTCAGAAGAGCTTGTCCCCCTCCATGTGGTCCTATTTAAAGGCAATTATGGCACTTCAACTTAGGGTGGCCATAAACTTCACCTCCTCCTCAGTCTGCCTATTGATTTTGCAGCCAAGGCTGTTTGTGTCATCCGGGAGCGTATTGTGTGTTGGCAGAGGTTGTGTGCATCACAGGGACTCTGAGAACAGCTCTTTTCTTGTTACCCTAGTAACAAAAAGAGGCACTTTGAAGAGAATTAATATTATTTTGTTCCCAATTATTGAAAACGACCTTAGAAACATTTCTTTCTTGGCTTAACCTAAGGTGAGACTAGGGTGAGATGAAAATTCATGTGATTAAAAATTAATTTCTATTTCGTACTTTATTGCATTAAATGTCCTATCTACAGAGCATGCATAGCTTTGTAGCAGCTCCACTCATGGGTAGGCCTCAAGCTCTTTGCTATTTCTTGGGCTGACTTGTAGCTCTTTTGTGGTGGAGTTGGATGGAGGAACATTTATTCAGCTGGGTGCCAATTTTCCTCTTGTTTCTCATATTGCTAAAGGAAAATAATTATTTGTGCTAATAATAAGCAAGATGACAAAGATGACTACTTAAATGGAATTATTTTTCTCTTATATTGTCTTTCTGTAATCAGAAAATTGACATTGTATGAGTGTATCTTTATTTACTCTCACTTCCACTTCCTTTTTTTTGGGAAGTTTTATTGCAATGCAGACTCCACTTAGGTCTGCCTGTATATGGGATGCCATATAAACAGCACCAGCTTAAATGGCTAAGTGAGTCCGGGGACACAGTAAGGAAGATTCCCCCAATAGGGACTGTGCAATATCAAAATAGAGTTTTTTTTAACCTCCACATGTTTGTTAGTATAGGAAATTTCTAGAAACCAAAAAGCATTATGAATACATAAAAAAGAAACCCAGAAGAAGAACCCAAGCAAATAGGCAAAATCCTTCTGAAGAAAGGAAAGGCCAGAAAATGGAATAATTGTCTGCTGATCTGAAGCTAATAGAGATACAAAGAGTTTGATTTATTAGTCTACAGAAGGCCTAAATGCCAAGTAACGGTTTCTCTTTTCTTTGCCCTTTTTAAAGTAGAAAAACAACTACACAAAAATCCAAGAGCACTTTTCCTAAGCCCTGAACAAGAAACACTCCCATCTCCATGCTGTTCTCTTCGGATCAAGGGGTCTCCTTGCATTTCATTGGGTTGGAGTCTTCATCTGGTGCCTGGATCCAGGATGTGTGATAAAGGCAAAGTGTGGTTTTGGGGAGTTCTTAGTTTTCTAGACTAAATGTGAGAGGTGAGAGAGTTCCTTGAGGAATATTTTTGAATATTTCCTTTAAACAGTGTCAGTATAACACCTGTGCTAAGCATGGTCATGCACAGGGACCCTAGTGAATTGTAATAATGGATAAGTCCATTAGGTGGTGATAGAACATAAACTTCTGGACACAGCGTACTGCCCCAGAGCCCCCTGGCAGCATGTAAAAGGTTGGGTACTGTTGAAATCAGAAGGTGGGCATATGGGATTTGCCAACTGGACAGAGGAAGAACAAACAGAAACCTTGCATGCCAATTGGTCAATTAATTAGCATATCATTTATAATGCTTTTATCCAAGATAATTTATCATGAGCAAAATGATGTGCATTCTTAAACACCATTAAACCAGGAATCGATTGTTTGAATTTCACACCGTTGCATTACACAGAAGGAGTCTAAACTCAGTCAATGATTCAATGATTGATCGGATATGGACACTTTTGGTAAAGGTACAGGATTTTCCTGTAGCCTCTGAATGGTGCTAGTTCCTCCCAGGAGTATGAACAGAACCCTAATGAGCCAAGTGGCTGATTGTCCCTCCCCATTCCAGCCCTTCAAACCTAATATAGTGTATTTCCAAATATTTGGAGATATATTCATTATCCTCACAAAAGTATTTCTTTCATGATTGTCTAAGATCCTCAGCTTTTGTTTTCTCCTGTTTGTTTTGGAAGGACTTTGTTGGAAGTAGAAAAAAAGGAGTTGTGAAATCTTGAAAACCTCTCAGCAGGTTGGGTTGTTTTCCAGAACTAGAAGTCCGGAGATTGAAGACGTGGTGATGCTCTCAGGGGTGGAAGATGTGCAATGGGAAAGGACTCGGCTGGGCAGGTGCGTGTGGGGGTCAAGGAGTAACTTGAGTAGAATGTGTTCAAATCCAGCAGGTGGAGAGTGTTAGCACCTGAGCATACCCCCTTCTCTCACCAGCTCACACGAATCAAACTCACAGTTTAGGATTAAAATTAGGCCGCTGGTTATTGTGTTTCATAGTGTTTTTATTCGCTAACATTTGTTGGGTGCTTGCTGTGAGTCAGGCTCTGTATTAAGGGCTTCACGTAATCCCTACAGTAACCCGATGAGGTGGACACCATCCTCATTTGACAGATTAAGAAAGTGAGGCAGCATAGAAGTGTGGGGACAGAGTGTTAAGTACGTGTGTAAGGTCACACAGCCCAGAAATGGCCAAGCTGGGACTGAGATCTACCCGGGTTCCACCCATGGCCATGAGCAGCCTTCCCAACAAACCCTTTTCTCTCTGTCCTTGACTGTGGCCATGCCCCCTGGATAGTTCCCAATTGGGCAGTGGGCAGTGTGTGCCTTGTCCTCAGAGAGTCTCCTTCCCTGGACTCTGATGGTCCTTACGTTCTGCTTGACTCAATGCCATGGTCATGAAGTTCAGGCCCTGGAGGGAGGGAACTGGAACTTCTCAGCTATGATCCACATATGCTGATTTCTTAGTTGAACCGTCAGGGGGTACATCTCCATCCCCTTCATTCTCAGGTTCTTGGGCTGCTGCTGTGGCCACCAACGCCAGCCCCTGTTATAGAGGCAAGTGAAGCGCTGTCAGCCCACAGTACTCCAGAAGTTGGTCAGTGGCTTCCAATATGAAGTCTTAGGTTGCAGAGAGAAAAATCTAAAAATTGTCATCTGCTTTTTCCAGTCTGGTTGTCCTTGGGTACACTCCACTCACTGATGCTGAAGGGTACACCCAGAACTCCTCCGGGGCTTAGCTGTCACTGGCCACTGAACGATGCGCTGGTGTCGCAACTAGCTCCTCACGGTATTTTTAGCTGAGAGGATGGTTCCTTCTGGCTCTTTGTTGAGGGAGATTTAATGAGGAGAAATACTCTTTAGTCCCAGGACATGAATTTTAGTTTGCTAGTTTTGTAGCAGATCAGATTTCTCTGTGTTCCCTTTATAACAAAGCGTTAGTCTATCGCTGAAAGGCAACAGAAGTTACCTAGGGAGGAAAATAAAGCTCATATTAAAAACTTCACACTCATAGGTTAATTTATCTTCAGATTCTGCAAAAATAAAGCAGAGAAATACAACCTGGTTTTATTTTGCTCCAAGGAGTAGAGAGATGTTCTCCATTTTTGACTAGATTCAGAGATTGAAATAGCATTAGGCCAAATCCAGTAAACAGGCAACTTGATGGTGTCTCAGAGTGGTTAGAAGGGATTTCAGTGCTAGGAGGGTTTTTTTTTTTTTTTTTTCCCCTTAAATATTTAGACAGAGGAATGGGAGTTCTAGATAGCTCCCGAACAAAGCGGGTGATGGCTCTTCATCTGGTTAGAATTCCTGGGGACTTACCGTGCAATGATGGTGTCTTCGATCCACTCTGAGGGTACCAGAGTATTTTTGGAAGCTGCTCAGTTGGTTGAGATGTGCAGCTGGGTTTAAGAAATGCTGCCCAGGAGGAATCTAAACTCCAGGAAACAGCTAAGCCCTCATTCCCTCACCTGCATGGGCCAACCAGACTGATCACTCCCAATGGTCTCTTACAAAGGAACCAGTGGTTTTCAAAGACATATATATATATATATATATATATATATATATATATATATATATATATATTTAAGCCATGGAACTCTGTTCAAATGGATTTCCAGTATAAAAATCAGATGGAGGAGAGCTGCTCTGAGTATAGTTTCAAGTATACCTTGACCCCAAGGGGACCTACCAATGCAGAGAACAATTTGAAAACTCTTTGTTGGTTGTAGATTTTTCTTTTTAAATCAACTTCATTGAAGTTTACTTTATACAATAATATGCAACTGTGCTGTTTTTCCAACATTGGCCAGTTCTCCAATCTTCTGACACCAGTAGGTGTCATTTTAATTCAGTTCTGGCACTAACTCCTGGGGTTAATTTCTGAGCTTTTTAATAGAGGTTTCCTAGGTAGGCATGTATCAGGTAGGCACAAATCACTCGCCATTGGTGACTGAACTCACTCTCCTCCTCCCAGATGTCTGGGTAAGGTGGGTGAGAAGGTCTAAACTTCTAATCCCATGGTTGGTTTTTCTGGCAACCAGCTCCCATCTCCCATTTCTCAGGTCCA